TGCAAAAACAAAAATCTGGGGTGGAATCACCCCTACACCACCACCCCCAAACACATACAAACACACATGCTTTGACAGTCTGCAGAGCTCAAGTATGGGGCTGGAGAAGAACACCAGAGGAATTAACAGCAGAGGGCCAGAAAAGTAAGCAAGAAGGGAGAATTCAGAAAGAGAATCAGCACACTCTGTAGTGTGCTCCTCTGTAGAGAGCAAGAGAATGAGCTTAAGCACCCAAACATAGTTTACATTTCCTATTCAAGAGTGTCTGCTATATGCTAAAGACACTTCCGTTACTTTTCCCCGAATTACTGTATATTAGACCCTTTGGTACTGAAAGTTTGGTCCACCAACGAAAGGACACGAGTGGGAGTTAAGAAATACTGAACCTTAGGCCCTATCTCAAAGGTACTGAATTAAATTCTGTATTTTGTTAACAACCCCCTCCCCCAAAATGCCATTAAAATCTGAGTTTTGGTCTAACACTGCTAAATTAAATCCTTTCCAGACTGCACACTATATGCAAATAAAACTATTATTCTGTGTGCCCCCACAGGACCAGCAAGACTTAACACATTGTAAAGCATTCTATGATACTTAGAGCACACACTGTAAATGACTGAAAAATCAATGAACTTGGCTCTGAAAACATCTCAGAACTTCCCTACTCCAACTTCCTTTTCATGGGTGAGGAAACTACTCCAGAACATGTAGGCTGTCTAAAGTCTATGTTATTTTTAAATGACAATACAACCCTTTAACAATTCACAGGTTGTCAAACACCAGGATGAGCAAACCAATATTTAGGTATGGTTTCTATTCTCTTTAAAGGATATGCTATCAATCATAATATACATAGATGTTCAAGAACCTTAGGAGTCCCAAGGATAGGTGTTTTTTATGAACGTCTCCCAAATGACAACACTTCACCACTTCTCTTGGTATTTGCCACTATTTGCCAACCGCTAAGCCCTAGTAGATTGTAACCATAAGACACTGTGTGACGCTCACCACTGTATACATGCCGGGTGGACTGTAGGAACCTAATACACTTCTGTTGAATTAATGAATATAACTAACCAAATAAAATCAACTGATCAAAATCAGACAACTGTTACTGGTAAAGCCAGTATTAAAAGCCAGTCTTTTAACACCTAGCAGGGGAATTAGGAGCAAATATTAACTTAATCCACATTTTAACTTTGCTTCATAAAAACCAATTGAATAATCATTTACTAAGGTTCTAACCTCTCCAGGATTATATTACATACAACCGCAGAAGGCAAGGTTTAGTAAGAGGAAAGCCCTACTCTTGAGATTTGCTTCAACACACCACATAATGACATTTACTACAAGTAGACTTTTCTGCAGGGGGTAGGTGGAGTCCACAACTCAAGGGACTTCACTGTGATTATATTCACAAGTGAAGATGATTAGTGGAAGAGGTAAATTCAAAATATAGTTTCATTTTCCTTTAATCCCATTCCTTAGCACATACATAGGTTTTATGGTAGGTTGCATATATGAAATTTTCTACTGGAATGCAGTCGAAATAGTGGGGCTTTCAGCCCAAGTTATGCAAGCCTTCTTTTGAGCTACAGGTAAGTTACCTCTTTCCAATGGATGTCATCATGGAGACCTGTTGCTGGGGCCGAAGCAACTGTGCCCATCCAGAGGTGGATCCACCAGGCCTACTACCCCAAATGCAGAAGAGGGAAGTGTTAGGGGTGCCAGGCATGCCTGACTCTTGGTTCCAGCTGAGGTTATGATCTAGCAGTTTCATGCGTTCGAGCCCCGAGTCGATCTCTGCACTGGCAGCATGGAGCCTGCTTGGCATTCTCTCTCTCTCCCTCTCTCTCTGCCCCTTCCCCCACTCGCCCTGTCTCTGTCTCTCTCAAAATAATTAAACTAAAATAAAACTAAAAATAAACTCATCCAGAATGCACAAGCAGGTTAAATGAAGTCTACACAACCTCATATAACATCGTGAAAAATCAGCCCACACTTTACATAGTAGAGACTTGATGCAAATGCATATTTTAACATCATTTAAGATTTAACGCTCTTAGATTAATAACATTATTAAATGCTAGCTAGCATTTATTGATCACTCTATATCAGACTGTAATTAAAACATTCATATTATTTGATGAAACCACAACTCTGGGTAAACATGGACTTTACAGAAGAAACTGAAGGTAGTTAAAGAGGCTGACTGGCCCAAAGTCAAAGGGCATATGGCAAAATGGTATTTGCCCCAGGACTTGTACTAGCTTCCTCTCTACTGTTCTTTGTTATCAATATTACTATTCTGTTCCCCTTAGAACCTTATTGCTAATGGGCACTTAGGCTCTCTCCATGCAGATGTGATCATTCACTCAAAAACCAATAGTTGACCATAATTTAAATGTATGTGTCACCTCAATATTATCATCTGTATCCATGTACTTAGTAAGTAGCATTTCACAAGGACTTAACACAGGGAAGTCTTGAAAGTAACTTCCCTAATGTGTTTGGTAAACAGAACTCAATAAAGTTTTCATCACATAAAAAGTTACCTCATTTCTGGCAGTCATGATTCCAACAATTTGTAATCCAAATAAATAATTCTAACATTTCTTTGCAGCCCAATTCATTTGTTTTCAAAAGGTGGTATTTTTAATTATCTTAAGTATCTCAAATAAGAAAACATCCAATTCTTTATTTTTAGTTTCAAAAAGTATACTTTGGAGGTATGTCATTTAAAACTCAAATAATTTAATTATTGGAATAGATTTATAAATAACTTTACACATTTATTATTGTGATGATCATGACCACCATATTTGGATGCTTGGACATCAAGCCTCAGAAGCAAAGCCAAAAACCTCAACACATGAGGACAGAGGAGGACAACAGTGATAGGCTGAGAAAAAGACCTACAAATCAGAGTGGTAAAGAAGTTAGGAGAGGATTCAGGTGAAGGAAACAGGATTACAAACATTAACAGAGGTGATAAACAAAGGGCACGTGGTAGGAAGGAGGCCCTAACAAGTGGTTCAAGCTGGTGAAGCAATCTCCCAAGAGTATTCTTCAAATTCATGGTTAGTTTTGACGTCAAAGGAAGAAGATGGAAGGGATCACAACCAGGATGATGGGGAAAACTGAAAGTGCCTAAAGGAGCCGAAAGGAAACACCCAGTCAACAGGACAGAACAAAATTGGTCACAAGAAGAACAAACGTGACCATGGACTGTGAAAAGGAAGATTCCCCAGAGAATGATGGTAGAGTAGTCAAAACAGAAAGGGAGGGGCCTCTTTTAACTGCAGTTTATATTTTAAACCAATAAACATATTCAGCACCCCTTACAACTGAGCTTGGGGATCGCACCATTTAGCTTGAAGACACCTTGATTAAAATGTGTTACCCTAAATTAAAATGTTATCAATATATCAAGTTATCTATCATCACTGATCATAAATAATTTTCCTTCCTATGCAGGATCACACTGACAGCAAAGTGAATATCACTCTAATACTTCATAATCAAAGGTTTAAGACAACTGTGGGTCTCAAAGTACACTCAGGAGTTTTAGTTCTTTTCAAACTGTCTGGCTAATAGAAAAGAATAATAGACTTAATACAGAACTGTATTTACATCAAATGAAGGTCAGATCACATAGCAAGGATGTTTCTGTGGCAATCTGGCAAGAGAAAAAAAGGTAAAAAAATGTGAGGTCGAGCAGCACACCACAGTATAGACATGGAAGAAAGAAGAAAACAGAAAGGAAAAGACAGAAAAAGGCAAGAGATAACACCAATATATACATTTCAAGCAGATTAAATAAAACATCCTCAATTCTAAATTATTTTACATTTTAATTACTCTGTAGTTGTATGCAATTTACTTTATAATTTTATAAAGGCCCAAGAGCATATACAACATTTGCATTAGTACAGTTTTATGCATTAAACAATGTTTTAACAAAAATAATTCAAAACAATGCTGAGTCCACAAGTATTATTTTTCTCCTTAAAGAAGTCCATACATTACTAAAGACTAAGAAACCCAGGCAACTAAGTATTTTACTTTTCTTGTGTACTCAATTATTTTCACTTGAGTATTGCAATTATTGAAGAAGTCTATTGCCCACTTTATCTAGATTTTTTAAATTATAGCAATAGAAAGATAATTTATGGTAACAGATATAATCTGGACATCTGACAATCATTATTACTTACTTGGCTTGAAAAGGAGTAAAACAATACATTTCTCTTTGTCAGTTATCAACTGTGAAGAAAATCTACTTTCGGTCCTCTATTAAAGTAAAGGCTGCTAAACCACAAAAGCTGCAAAATACCACCCTGTAATAAAGCATTTACAATTACCATACGTGTTGATTGCAACTAATTTTACTACAATATGAGGATATCCTGTTAAAACCTCACTTCACATTACATTGTAAATTTTCCAGATTACCTTGTTATCTAATGTTTTAAAACAAGGCCATTATATGGCATGAAAAATATACACTCAAGTGTTAATAGTGATTCCTTATAATTTTTGAAAAAAATATTTTTAAAAATTACTCAACTACTGCACTGAACAACTAAAAGTGTTTACTCTCAACTCAATAATTTGCCTCTTTACTGACCACAGGTTTCTCATTACTATTGGGATTCTTAGTGCCGACTGTTAGCCTTCCTTTGGGGGCAGAATATTAACTTCACTTTTGCAGAATTTCTTGGCTGCCAAAACTTCTAGACACACTTACAGAGCTAATTATTGAACAAGGACGAGACAAAATAATTCACAGAAGTCTGCTTTTGGCAGATGGATCGCTGCACAAACCTTACATGGTATTTGGTCAGTTACTTCAGAGACAAATGATTACTGAAATCTAAGTTAAGAAAGTGAGATCTATCTGGCTTTCATCATTGATTTCCTAAATGAACTGGCCAAAAAAACTTGTGGGTTGTTCTTACAGACTATATGTAAAATGAGATGAAACAGACCCTTAGGAATTTTTTTTTTTTTGGTGAGAATATCCTACTAAGGATGTAAACACCATGGCAACCTCTTCCTATCCAATTATTATTTTTTTAATCATGTACTCACCCCAGGAGTTTCCAAAACTCCCTTATTTCACAAAACGATGGTTCTGACGTCACTTTCTGTATCATCAAATACCTTCAAAATTTTCTCTTCAGAAAATGCTCAGGGTGTATCTTTTATTTTCAATGCTCCACTATAATTTTAAAATAACATTTTCAGTGTGAACTATGGTAAGATTTCCATCCACTCTTTGTAACTTCTATAAGACATACTAACTTTAGCATAAAAGATACTTTATTTCCATACATTTCCTGCTTTTTAGTAAACAAAGTACTGGGTGGGAATTAACAGCTAATGCTCTTACCAATTCTGTAATGCACTGCATCCATTCCTTTTTATGTTTCTATTTTATATTCAAAATACATATACTGTCCAGAATTGTGAAAATTGGAAACTTTTTGTGAAAATAACCAAAAATCAATCAAGTTGGTACTGGAAAATTATATTGATAGTTATCAGAAAAGTAAAATCAGTGCCTTTCACATCCTCCCCAGCAATAAATGATACTATGATTCTACACGTCTAAAAAACATACTTCTAAAAAGAAATCAGGGGAAAAATAACCTTAAATACCTCCCAAATCCCATTATTCATGACTTTATCATTAGTACCTATAGTTTTTAAAATGCACGTCAGAACATAGTCATGTGCTCACTAAAAACGTTAACATCGTTCTGACCAAAGTAATTTCATGATGCACCTACCAGAACCACCCAAAGCCATACACACCAAATCTATTAAGGATAATGTGCTAATAGTTTCCATCTGCCTCCTCGAAATTTTCAATACAATATTAATTTTACATATATTTATCAATAATATTTTTCAGTGGGAAATATTTAAATCAATGAGTTGGCATTAAGTTATCCAGACTAATTAACCATATGTAGTGAAACTAATATACTCTCCAAGCACTCAAACTGAAGTGATAAATTCTTTTAAAAGGATAATCTGAAATTATAAATTTCTTATGTATTACACCCAGAAGACTCAAATACTACTGACTATCCTTACAAATGTTTGTGTCAGAATTCTGAAAACCCCTAATAAATGCCATTACTTTAAAATATTCGTAAAATGTTACAATCAGCAATTCTGAAAACTAGTAATTAAAACCATTAAAGCATAACACTGACCTAACAGGACAAGAATTTTATTTTTGTAATCTTTATTAATATATGATCATCCCCCTAGGGTCACAACTGCTAGCCTTTTAAACAAGTTTCAAAGGCAATTTTACAGTTCATTTAATACCACACATTCCTACAACCTTAGCCACTTTAGAAAACAAAGGAAAAATTGCTTCAAAAATGCAGCCTTAGAAATGTTACTGTAATTAAGAGCAGCTCTACATTAGCTCCTTCCATAATCAACCAGTGTGTTTTAGATTGCCATGTATATCTTGATTGTGACATGCAAAATGGGTTCTGCTTTGGGAACTGGCTAATTGGCATGCAGATTTCTGCAGAGATCCACAGTCCCAAAGACAAAACAGAGGAAATAAACATTCTAGGGCTGACTCACACAACATATACTTGAGAGAAGAAACCCTTCACAATAGTGGACATGGGAAAAGGGAAAAGGACAAGTGACCAAGTACTCAGACTCTCAGCCCATCACTATATAAATTTAACAGCATTCAAATGGTTATTAGCCCCCATGTGTGACAAGACACATTCTCAAAGTGGAAAAGGAGTTAAACTGATTCAGACCATTGGCAATGGTCTTGCATATGATGCCATTGTAATTCAAGTTCATCTTCAACCATTTAAAATTTTTAAGAATGTATTCCAAGGTAAGAATTCATTTCAAACCTACTTTAATAAATTACACATGCACTAATTTGTGTGTATATATTTTCTATCTGTCATTTGAAAGCATTTTAAACCTCTTTTGATAATGAAAAAGAATAGCCATGTTGAAATTAGTAACTTTAGACAAACTGTCACTGACTTTTATGTATTATTGATCAAGAAAAAGTAGCCCAGATCTTTAACTTTGAATGAACTGATAAAAACATGTCAGGACACCTTTGAGAAATTTGTCCTTGCTACCTGACCACCTTTCTATTTTCTGCAGTGAATTCATAAGAAGGGAGTATTTTTAACAAAGTAGTATACCCAGTGCTTTGAAATGAAAAAGTGACCTAAAGCCTATTTCGGTAAAGGCAGAACACAAATGAACTTTCAGGTCAAAATTAGCGTCTGCCAAAGTGGAGATTAAGTGAAACTGGATACAATTAATCCCAATTAGTAAGCATTAAAAGCACTAGGGGAAGACATGTCACAGAAAACTAAAGAACTAAAAATGGAATGTGTACTTGGATCATCTGTAGTCTATAATTCTATAAGAGTTGCTAGAATTCAAACATTTTTAAATAATATTTCTGGTAAACTCAAATTCAAAATATAATTAATACCCAGGATTCCTCCTTCTCCAAAGAAGAAATTAAACTAATTCGGTAATTTGTTCTCGGAGATACTCTGCAAATTCCAATTCACAAGAAGTATACAAAATAGGGTAATAATAAAAGGTGTTTATAGATGAATAGCTACAATAATTCCAATTTTTGCTACCTCAGCAAGGTACTGTACATATACCACATCAATATAATAGAAATGGCACGGTTTCTGAGGACACGTTCCACATTTTATTTACATTTTAAGACTAACTTTAATCTCAAAATCACATATCCATACACCTATTTCCTTTTTTTGTTGATTTCACTTAAATGCATGGTTTGTCAAACAAAGACTGTAAACAAATATTTACCATGTCTGTTACATGTAACACACAGGAACGGCTTTTAACAGATACTCATCCGCCTCCCCCACGACATTTTTTTATCATAAATACAGGTATCAAAACAATCCTGAACATATTTTTGATACTACTAGTAGTCAGCACCCACACCGCTTCAAAAATTAACACAATTTGTGACAAGATTCATTGTACCTGCTACTTTAGACAATTTCAACTTGAAGCTCTTTCGCTAAACAAGATGGATAAAGCATGCCATTTCTGTTTTTCCTTCTTGAGATTTTTTTACTTTTCAGAAACACACATGCTTCCACAGCATCTGACTCTTCTCTCCATGCTTTCATCTTGTAAACCTGAATTCTATTTTGAGTACTCCAGGTTTATGCTTAAATGACAGTGCCTTAACAAGAGAAAAAAAATGGTGCTGCATTTTTCCTCCTGTAAGCTGAAAACATAATGGTGTACATATATTAAATATATTCTTACAAATGTCCAGGTCATGTTTACCAGCTGGAATTCTTTTACTTAATGTGTGGGTATTTTGCATTGTGATATTTAATCAAGACATTAACATGAGTAGAAGGCTGTTGATTTAAGACAAGTTTGAGATCCACTAAAATTAATTGTTGTATGTTTGTCCTTCTGGTGGCTGTGGAAGCTTCATATTTTCTTTGGACATCATTAGACGTCTTAGCTCTTGAAGTACAACTTTAATGCTATATGAGTTTTGCCATTTTGCTAACACTGGTATGCTCCGTGCATCCACCTGAAACGGGGGGAAAAGAGCAAAATTAACTACGAAATTTAAAGTACTATGGCACCGACTTACTATACATACTTCTATAAGAAGTGCTTTTAAAATTCATAGCCTGGCTCTACTTTCACAAAAGAAACACTATGACACTACAAGTTCATAATACAGGAAAAATAATCCTTTTGTAACAGGTATTTCCTAAAAATTTGTCTTTTTGGTGTGTATGCTTTTTTATATCTTACACTAAACATGTAGTGAACTTTGGACAACAGACATAAACAAATGTTACATTAAATAACTACACTGTAAACATAGTTGCCAAATCCTTCTTGATGAGACAACGTCTGAAGGTTCCTCTCCATTTCCAATGCCACTACCCAGAATCTGGGTAATTATCTCCACTGGAATTTAGAAAAGAGCTGTTAAACTGATCTCTGCTTTTGGATTTTTCTTATCAATGTCTTCTCTGCACTATACTAAATTAACCTTCCACTGTAGAAGACTGACAGAATGGGGCTGGAGCAACTTCAAAGCCTAATTCCCAGGTAACTGACATCACATGACCTGGCTGGCCATTCCCCGGAAAACCCCACTCACAGGCATGTTTGTTTGTTTGTTTTTAAGTTTATTTATGTATTTTGAGAGAAACAGAGACAGCATGAGTGGAAGAGGGGCAGAGAGACAGAGGGGGTTGGGGGGAATATGAATCTCAAATGGGCTCCAATGCTGTCAGCACAGAGCCCGGACACGGGGCTTGAACTCAGGAGACCATGAGATCACGACCTGAGCCGAAACCAAGAGTCGGATGCTTAACTGACTGAGCCGCCCAGGGGTCCCTCAGGGTTTTTTCTTTATCTGACCTCAAAAGTCACCCACTGAGTACTGCATATTCCTCCTCCCACCCACATCCACACCTACCCCAGGCATTTTTCAAAAATAATCAGTGTCAATTGTTTTAACATCTCTGCTGCCTGGGGAGACAGTAACAGGTCAAACAGGAAGGTGTTCAAAACATTTCAGAGGAATAATTGGGAAATGAGATGTCCACAGGGGCTTTGAAAAGTTCCAACATATGCCTGTGAATCTAGAAGACCACACATGTACAGAATTGTACAAGGGCTCAACAGAAGAATTGATATGCTCTCACCTGTGGCTGACCTTGAGCAACACATAATAAAGATTACAAAGTAGGATTTATCCCAGAACTGTAAGTTGGCTCTGGATTTTAAAAAGCCAGTCAACATAATATACGATATTAACAGAATAGAGAACAAAAATCATAATTATTTCAATAAGCATAAGAAAGCATCTGATAAAAATCCAACAACTTTTCTGATAAAAAACACTCAACAAACCAGGAACAGAAGGGAACTTCCTCAACTTCATAAAGGGCATCTCTAAAAACCTCTAGTTAACATATTTAATCATCACCGCTACTCAAGATTGTACTGGAGGTTTCAGCCAGGCAATCAAGCAAGAAAATGAAATGAGACCTCAGATTGAAAAGAATGACTAAATCAATCTCCATTTGCAGATGACATGATCTTGTATACAGAAAATCCTAAGGTATCCATTAAAGAAACTAGTAGAGCTAATAAACAAATACAACAAAGCTACAGGATACATGATCAATTTATAAAACCATGTTTGTAGGGGCACCTGGGTGACTCAATTGGTTGAGTGTCCCACTCTTGATTTAGGCTCAGATCATGATCTCAGGGTCAAGGGATCAAGCCCACACCAGCTCCATGCTGAGTCTGGAACCTGCTTGAGATTCTCCCTCGGCCCCTCTCCCCCAGTCTCTCTCTCTTTTTAAAATAAAAAATAAATCAATTAATTTTAAAAAACCCACGTATGTATGCAATAAACAATCTGGAAATAAAATTAAGACAACGATGCCATTTATAATTGGGTAAGAATAAAATACATAGGTATAAATTTAACAAAAGAAGCGTAAGACTCATATAACGAAAACTATAAATTACTGTTAAAAAAAAAAAATCAAAGACCTAAATAAATGGAAAGACATCCCCCATACATGGATCAGAAGACCTAATATTGCTAAGATGACAATACTCTTTAATGTAGTCTACAGATTTAATAAAGGCCCTATCAAAATTTCAACTACATGAGTTGTTTTTGTTTGTTTTGTGTTTTTATAGAAATGAACAAGATTATTCTAAAATTCATGTGGAAATGTAAGGAACACAGAATAGCTAAAACAAAAAAAATAACAAAGGTTTTCCAATGTTAAAACTTACTACCAAGGCAGTTATCAAGAAGGGTGGTGCTTACTTACATAAGGATGAACATCACATCAATGGAATACAATGGAGAGCAGAAAAGTCAAGTAATCTTTTGACAAGAGTGCCAGGAATACATATACAATGGGAAAAGGATAGCCTCCTCAATAAATGGTGTTGGGACAAATAGATATCGACAAACAAATGAATGAAGTTGAGCCCTTAACTCACATCACACACAAAAATGAACTCATACACATAAATTAAGAGCTAAACCTATTTAAAAAAAAAAAAAAACCTCTTAGAAGAAAACAGGAGTAAATCTTCATTACATTGGATTTGGTAATGGTTTCTTTAATATCTACTGCCATAAACACAATTCAACAAAAAGATAAATTGGCTACATCAAAACTTAAAATTCTGAATTGCAAAACATAACCATCAAGAAAGCATAGACAATCCACAGAATGAGAGAAAATACTTGCAAATCATATATTTCATAAGGGGCTCTCATTCTATATATAAAGAACTCATACAACTCAGTAATAAAACACCAAATATCTCTCAATTAAAATGTGAACAAAAGCATATTTGTGGCAGACAGCTGTTACAAACTGTGTTCTCCCCAAATCCATACGTTGAAACTCTAAGACCATAGGGATGATATTAGGAGCTGAGATCTTTGGGAAGTAATTAGGTTTAGATGACATCATAAGGGTAGAGCTCCATGATGGGATTAGTGTCCTTTTTAAGAAGAGAAAAACTAGAGCTTGCTCTCTCCTTCAAGAAAGGGACAGTAAGATGTTAGTCATCTACAATTCATCATGAAGGTCCTCACCAGAACCCAACCTTGCTGATAATACTGATCTCAGGTTTCTCGGCCTCCAGAACTGTAAGAAATAAATTTCTGTTACTGAAACCACCCAGTCTATGGTATTTTTGTTATGTCAACCCAAACTGCCAAAAATCTTACAAATCCCAATATTCATGTCCTATATAATCCTTTCCTTTGAGTATGGTGGACCAGACTTTATGACTTGCTTTATGAAGAGAATGTTGGGATGTTTATTTCCGATATTAAGTTACAAAAATACAGTGATTTCACCTTGCTCTTTCTTGCTTTCACTCACTTGCTTCACAGACAGAAGTCAGCTGCCATGTTCCAAACTGCTCTGTTCCACCCTGGCAAGGAACTGAGGGTGGTGTCTGGGAAACAGTATGCAAGAAACTGAGGCCCTCAGTACAAAAACCCAAAAAGAAATGAATCCTGCCAACAACCACATAAGTGAGGTTAGACTGGATGCTTCCTTAGTTGATCTTCACATGAGACCATGGCACAGGCTGACATCTTGATTGCAACCCTGGGAGAGTCCCTGAGCCATAGGACCCAGCAAAGCTGTACCTACATTCTTAGCCCACAGAAACTATGAGATAATTAATCTTTGTTGTTTTAAACCACTTTAATTTAAAAAAAAAAAAAAAAAAGGCCCTGAATAGACATTTCTCCAAAGAAGATACGCAAATTACCAATAAATATGTGAAAAGATGCTCAACATCATTAGCTTAATCCAGGAATTGCAAATCAAAACCACAATGAAATACCACTCCACGCCCACTTTGGATGGCTATAATCAAAAAGACACAGTAACAAGTGTTGACAAGGATGTGGAAAAGTTGAAACCCACACACACTGTTGGAAAGAATGCAAAATGTTATGTCCATTTTGAAAACCAGTCTGGGAGAAGGGCCAACATGGCGGAACAGGAACAGCATGGAAGGTTTTTTTAAATCTCTCGTCCCTGAAATGCAGGCAGATCAACACTAAACACCTAGAAAACTGATTTGAGGATTAACACAACAATCTGCACAAACTGAACGACAGAACTCGGCAGGAACATGGCACAGAGAGGTGAACTGGGAGAGAGAGAAGCCGTGGAGGGCAGAGAGCTGTTTTTGCTTGCAGACAGAGGAAGGAGACAGGGGAGAGAGTACAGGAAAAGCACTCCTCCCCTGGCAAAGCAGCTGGAGAGAAAAAGGAAGAGTGGAAACAGCCACAGGGACTGAACAAAAAAGGAAGAAAGGAGAAAGAAGAGAGTTTAAATTCCATTAAGATACTATAAACAGGGGGGGTGGTGTAGAGTCTGAAATTCCACAGATTGATACCTGGCAGTGCTCTGGTGAGAAAGGCAAATCCCTGGGAGCAGAGAGCAAGGTCCTCGGGGTCCTCGGGCCGCATGGAGGGAGACATTTCCCCTGCTGGGAAGGCATTTGGTGGAGGCAGTGTGCCCCCCACCTCCAACCCGCCACAGGCAAAGGTCCCAGCAGACCCTGAAGAACAGCCACATTCACTGGTGTTGGAGCGAGGATGTTAAGGGTGAAGCCTGGCACCAGATGTGTGTTGTGATTTGCCATAATCCCTGAAATGCTGCTGCTACACAATCACACCACTTCTGGGGTGGACTGGCGCGCCGCCACAGTCTCTGGGCATCGGCAGCAACACAGTCTTGCGAACATTCCTGGGGGCGGGCTGGCACCCAGCCACATCTCCATGAGACCCTCCCCTACAGAGTCAGAACAGGTAAAAGCTACAGTCTCTCAGAAGTGAAGGGTTGCGAAACAAAGACGCACCTGAGATACAACTCAGGAGGAAGGTGCCACCTGGCAGCCTGAAAGCTTGGTCACAGACAGTGTAAAAGCAAAGAGTGGATGGAAGCAAGAAACAAAGGAGGGGTGCTTGATTGCCAGTCGGGGAGACCACAGAGCTCTGAT